CAAAAAAAAAAAAAAAAAAAAAAAAAAAAAAAAAAATCTGTGGGGTGAAGTCAGAACAGCCATCGTTAAAACGTCTACAAATAATAAATGTTGCAGAGGGTGTAGAGAAAAGGGAACCATCCTACACTGTTGGTAAACTGGTGCAGCCACTATGGAAAATAGTATGGAGGTTCCCCAAAAAACTAAAAATAGAGTTGTCATATGATCCAGCAATCCCACTCCTGGGCACATACCCAGACAAAATTGTAATTTAAAAAGATACATGCACCCCTATGTTCATAGCAGCACTATTTAAAATAGCCAAAATATGGAAACAACCTAAATGTCCATCGACAGATGAATGGATAAAGAAGATGTGACATATAGATATACATACATATATACGTATATATATATACATACATATATATATATTATACAAAGGAATATTACTCAGTCATAAAAAAGAATGAAATAATACCATTTGCAGCAACATGGATGGACATAGAAATTATCATACTAAGAAAAGTAAGTCAAAAAGAGAAAGACAAATGCCATATGATATCGCCCACGTGTGCAATCTGAAATATGACACAAATGAACATATCTACGAAAGAGAAACAGACTCACAGACACAGAGAACAGATTTGTGGTTGCCAAGGCGGGAGGAGGGTAGTGGAGGGATAGAATGCAAGTTTGGAATTAGCAGATGCAAACTATTATATATAGGATGGATAAACAACAAGGTCTTATTGTATAGCACACAGAACTGTATTCAATATCCTGTGATAAACCATAATGGAAAAGAATATGAAAAGGAATATATATATATATTTATAAAACATATATATATGTATATATGACTGGATCGTTTTGCTGTAAGTAGAAATTAACACAACATTGTAAATCAACTATACTTCAACAAAATTAAAATATCTGTGGGGTGTAATATTGCCATATTTCCTGAAAAGTATAGGGTTTGGAACCACCCTCCAAGGATGCACACACCAACCAACAACCAATCCTGGTGTCTCATAAATAAGGTAGAATGAAAACAACTGAGATTGTGATTCTCCAGGGCATTGGACACACTCACTGTGAGCTGGCAGAACTGGACAACAGGCAGTGTCCTTGGGAGTGAAATTCAGAACTTTGGACCTAGTTATTCCCAGAAGAAGAAATTAATCCAAAGAAAACAATTCAAAAGAAGAAAAAAGCTCTCAGCAGAATCCGATAAAGCTACACAAAGATAAGCAAGGACTGAACAAAATCTCAGTGTTCAATAATAGGGAAAGGAAATATAAACTATGGTGCGACTCCATGATATTAGCATAATTCCTATACATATGGACACACGGGAAAGGGTTGAAATAAAATGAGAAAATGTAGGGCCTAAAACAGTTCACATACCACATACATAAGCATACATTTATAAGAGGACACAGACAAATAAAAAGATAGATTGTGGTAGTAGCAATAGAGGCGAAAGCTTTCAAGTAAGTTTGTTTATTATACGATTTAAATAAACAATAGGTCTGGTCTGTATTCTTGTCCTTACTCAGCTACTCATTTCCTCTCTGACTTTACGTACAGCAACCTTCATGGAGACAAAAAACTGCCTACTTTAAAATATAACCAGGAGGATTCAGCAGGGTGCTGTACAGGGTGTTTTCACGCATTAAGTGCTCCATTCAGAACCCCCAGTGCCAGAAAATGCCCAGGTCTTTCCTCATTCCTGTATTAGTTCAGATCCAAAAACTGCAAGAATTTTTCGTAGTACCTAACGAGTTGCCTTTTACAGAACAGGTGCCAGATACACGTGTCTTACGTTGAAGTTATTCCTTTTCCTTAGGTGTATTTGTCATCGTATTCTGAGCAGAACAAAATACGAGCATTTTGATTTGTCTCATGTTAAGTGGAGAGGATGTCATAAAGCAATGATTATCTTTTTTTTTTTTTTTTTTTTTTGGCATGAGTTCTCACCTGGAAAGCTGTCTTCACACCGAGCTTTGCAGGAACAAATGAAGGGGAGCGACCTTTAGATCATGAAATTTCCCTCTGGTGTAGACAGGTAAGCAGGTCTTGCAGAGTGCTTTTAGGTACGTTTTCTTCAC